TTTTTCTTTTGTGTCATCCGGAATGAATCGGGGCCCGACCATTCAGCAACGAGCGGACCTTCCCTTGGTCGAGGCCCTAAGGTTGAGGCGCGTTAATGGGAAAGGCCCGCGGCCGGTGTATGGACGAAGTTCCGGTTGTTTAATGACCCCGGTATCTCAAATGATCTCAAACGATCTTAAATGTTCTCAATGATCTGTAGAATTCGATATGGGACGCTGAGACCGGTTCCCAGCAGTGCCAAGAATGAGAACCATTTGGCGCGACATTTATTTTGCGGTCTAAACGTTTTTTTTTTTTAAACATTTTTCTTGGAAAGATTAAGACTAAACTTGCAGACCCTTAAATTTTCAGCAAATTTGAGTCTTGCTTCTCAGAGCTAAAAATCGCGGAATTAGGGGTACTCCCTCCGTTGGCCTACATGTCGTAGATCGGTAAAAAACGAAAACACAACGAGTCGGCGCGATATTTATTTCATGTTTTTTTTTTTTTTTCTAATAGTTTTTTTAGAAAGAGCGGAAAATAATATACATGATCTGAAAATTTCAGATCTTTTGATTAATTACTTTGAGCACGAAAAATCGCCAAAGTTGGCGTTTGAAAATTGCAGGACTGGGGTGAAGTCCCACCGCCCAAGTTGAGTTTTCTCAACGCTGAGCTTTCTATCACGTGTGGCATGGTGGGACGGAGTTCTGCCGTTGATGTATTGCGAATCTAGTGGTGTGGAAATACAGGAGAATAACCTATTAGATTTTGTCATTTTGTAGATTTTTTATTTGACGTGAAATCCGTTTTGTCGTATGCTTTGGGTCTTTCGGTTCGGGCGGGAAACCATTTTAAGTTGAGAAAACTACCCTACCCCCGCCAAGGGTAGATTTCTCAACTTACGTGCCTTTCATTTTTTTGTTTTGTAGACATCATTACATCCTGAAACGAAGGAGCTTTGACAACTGTTTTTGGCTCCTTGGCATCAAACTCGTTTCCTTCTTTGGGCAATGAACGCATTTGGCCATCCATGTTGTCCCTGTCCATTTTACAAATGGTGACCTTCTGTCCGCTCATCAGGGGGAGTATTCCTTTTCCACGGAGACATTCACTCCGACTGTGCCAGACGTGTTTCATTTGTCACAGTTACTTTATCGAAAATAAGGAGAAAAGTTGTTTCTAACATTTTTTTTCAGTTTTTTAATTTCTTGTTTCGAATTTATTAATGTCGAAGTGGTGTCACACCGTTGCATTTTCTTAACTTAACTTGGGCGGTGAGACTTCACCCCTAGACCCGCCTGCCACACTGTGCAACGTTAGGGTTCAGAGACATAGGCACATCCTGACGTGTCAACAGCCTGACGTCGGATACACTTCAAAAGAAAGCAATCCCCAAGAGCAGACAGGGACCCAGTCCAGCTGAGTGGTTATCTCATCGGGCAATTGGGTATTTCAAAATCTGTGCGTGCGTTCAAATCCCGACCCGACCACAACCGCTATAAGCAAGCTTCAAATACTAATACTAAGATATATAT